AAATTGCCTATCTATATATAGTTTGTTCTCCCGCCACTGCGCTCTCCGCTCTCTCTCTCTCTCTCTCTCTCTCTCTCTCTCTCTCTCTCTCTCTCTCTCTCTCTCTCTCTCTATCCCTGGTCTGATGACTGTTATAGTTCATGAGTAAAGACATATCAGTTGCCTCTAACTGTGTCTGCACACAGAACTTATCCTGCAGACAGTGTGTAAGTGTGATGAATCTTCTACAGTTCGTCACAATGAACGTGTGTGTTTTCAGTCATCCAGTGAGCTATGGATGCCACAAGCAATCGTTCATCTGCAGGCATCTGCATGAAATTGTTTCCCTCTTGAATCATTAAGGGGGCTTAATTGACTTTTTAAATGAGGACGAGCTGCTTATACTTGCTGTATTGATTTGAATTGCAAGGAAGTTCAGAGCTGTGCAGTTACTATAGCGGCCTTGATAGATTTTCATTTGTTGTTCTTTCCCGTAACTAAATATGAATAATCCCTCCAGCCCGTAAACACACCAGATTCACTCCCTACAATCTAATTTCTTCATTGTTTATCTTTTCTGTTTTCTGTAGCTCAGCTGGTAGCCCTTGTAAAAAAAGAAGTACACTTTAGCATACTTTTAAAATAAGTACTTATTAATGAAATAATTTACAATGTTGCAATGAAATGATTGTCATTCTATTGCATTTAACATGCAATAGTGTCCAAAAACATGACTTGAACTTTTCTTTCAACATTCCTGTAGTATTATAGTTTAAATGTATGTTAAATGCAATTAGCTGAACTTAATAGTGCTTAATTTTGACCCTGTCATCTTTCACTCACCCTCATGCTGTTTCAAACCTGTCTGAATTTCTTTCTTCTGCTGAACACAAAAGAAGATATTTTGAAGAATGTTGGTTAACTAAACAGTTGACGGTAGACTGTATTTTTTTTTCATTCTATGGAAGTCAATGGTTACCGTCAACTCTTCCTAGATTCTTCAGAATATCTACTTTTCTGTTCAACAGAAGAAAGAAACGTGTACATGTTTGGAATGAAATGAGGGTGAGTAAATTATGACAAATATGACAGAATTTTCAGTTTAAGCACACGTCTAAGGTCTAACACAAGGAATAAACCAAATTTCGCCATGTATTTTTTTGCATATTAGAGTGTACCGTGCTTTTTAGCATAGCAAAATGCTAACATAAAACTCTATCGGAATCAATTTGGCAGTCAAGTCTAAATGTGCTTCACAAAATCTCATCATTGCTGCTTCATGGTGGTTTACTAGCTCTAACCAGCTGCTGTATACTTCACTTTGTATCTGACAAATGCACAAATGCCTTTTCTTAAAATCAATATTCACTGAAAACATTTATGATCATTTGTTATGGAAAAGAGCAGTGTGAACGTTCTGCTAAACTTTGCTAAAAATGCAGTTTGGTGAACTGAATACTGACAGCAAATAATATTAATAGTTGCTAGTTTTAACTGTCTATAGCAGTCATGACCCTGGTACTTTGGGTCTAAGGTGATGGAAAAAATATGATTTCTTGTTAAGTTCAGCATTAACATTTTCAAATGAAAAGATATCCAGAAGTTTCGAACACATTGTAAATAGACATGGTGCACAAGGTCATACACACAAAGGCAAAACTCCAGGGTAACACGCAACACTAAAATGCAATAAATATCAACTAAATAACAGAAAATGTTACACAATGTACATTTTAACAAAATGGGAGAAACAAAACTATTTAAATATATATTTGATAGTATTTTACAGTAAAATATAATGTGATGTTAAACCATATTTTGACTGTAGCTTAGCAACATGCTAACGTGAACATAGAGAAGTTCTCTTGTTTGGTGAAAGAGTGCTCTTTATGAGACTATAAGAAAGTAGCTTGTCGAGTGTTTTTATTAGGTTTTATTTTCGATTAGGTTGGCTGCCTTCAGGCTATGTAGACTGTTGACAGCAAAATGGTATAGAGCTACTTTTTGCCTTCATTAGCTGCATTATTCTAACTCTCCCTCCTCCCCAGACAGTTTACTAGTCAATATACATGAGGAAATATGACAAATGTTTCATCCAGCACCCTTATGGCTCACAAAACATCTTTAAAAGGACTAGAGAAAAAAGAGATGTTTCACAAAATGTGTATGCTTCTCTTTTCAATACAATGAAAGTAAATGGGGATTGGGGCTGCCAAGGACCTAAAAGGACAAAAACTCCATGAAAGTACCATTATTCACTGAAAGTCTTGACCTCTTCCATAGATTGCAAATGGGTCAGTGACTTGACCGTCAATATTTTGTCATTAAAGAGGTGGTTCACTGGTTTTTTTCTAGGCTTGGTTGTGTTTATGGGGTGCAGTCTAACATGTGTTAATGCTTCAGTTTAAAAACACAGAATTATTTTTCATATAATTTACCTTTATTCCACACAGCTCTGTCCCTTCTCTGAGAAACAAATCTTTTCCTGTTTTTATGAAGCCCCACCCTCAGAAATAGGCGATGGGCTCTGATTGGTTAGCTAGCCCAGTGTGTTGTGATTGGCTAAACTGCCTCTAGTGCGTGTCCATGTTTAACGCTTCTCATAGCTATGTGAAAATATGTGTATAATTGGAACGGTTCCACATCCTAAGTCCAATTCTTGTTTTCTGCTTCCTACATAGGCTGCTAAATTGTAAGGCAATAAAAGAGAAACATCAATAAGCGACTGATTTGAGACAATGAAATTGAGCTAATTTAAATCAAAACTCATTTAGTCTGTAAAGATATATTAGTAGTATATTAATAACCGTTCTCTAGACTTGACTGTTTTCACTGAGCTTTTTGCAATGAATATGAGAACTGTCTTCTGTGTGGAAGATTCATATCAATTTGCTAGACATTAATGTCTTTAGAATTTGCCTTTATTTATAGTAAGTAAAGTAACTTAAACATCAACTAACAAGTGCAAATTCCACTTTCTTAGCTTTAGCTTTTGTTGACATGAAGAAAATTAAAGGGGTCATATGATGCTTTTTTAATGATCATTATTTTGTGTATTTGGTGTAACAGAATATGTTGACATGCTTTAATGTTCAAAAAACACATTATTTTTCAAATACTGTACATTATTGTAGGTCCTCTATGCCCCGCCTCTCTCAAACGCTTCGTTTTCTACAAAGTCCCTCCTTCCGACAAGCGCAGTCTGCTCTGATTGGCCAGCTGACCCAGTGCATTGTGATTGGCCGAACACCACAAACTGGCTTATTATGTCTAAAGAAAATATTTTGATTAAATATTGTCTTCATAATAAATAAACTTTTGGCCTTTTCTGAATACTTTTGTCTTTTAAAAAGAAAAATATAATTTTGAATAGTATAAAATCAAAATGTAAGGTTTGAATTTAACTATAAATACAATTTGAGAAAAACTATTACATTTGGTTGTAAAAAAATTCGAGTTTTTGTCCCAAAGTATTTTTTTCAGTGTGCTTGAGTCAAAATTTGTAATAAGTTTTATTATCGTTAATTAAAAAAAATATTCAAAATAGTTTTCATAAATTTAAATACCTTTGAAATAAAATAAAATCTAAATAGTTGAAAAACTTAAACGTAAAATACTTATGAAAATTTTAAATGTTGCCTGGGCAATAACTGAAATAAAATAGGTTTAAGCTGAGAAGCACAAAAATTACTAAAACTGAAAAAAATAAATAAAAGCTAATTTAATTGTTTTTTGAAGAAGTGGCACGTGGAAACATGGAAGTGAAAAAGCCCTTTTTCTCTTTGTGTCACTTGACCTTTCTGCCCCGTCCGTCTTATATCTTGACATTTGTGTTTGTGAAGCTGAAATGGCCAGTGTGACCTTCAGCTTTGATACAGGCAGTGTGCTGACAGGCGGCAGACCCTCAGGACACAGAAAGACACCTTTAACGCAAACAAGCCGGTGTCTCATCTTTCCCTTCCATAACATCCATCAAACAATGCTAAATATCTCAACATCCTCCATTCACAGGGACATCACAGACCTTGCCACGAGGAATGAACACAATACTGAAGAGTTTGCTTTGTGATGACATCTTTTTATATGAAATATCTTGAATGGCTCTTTTTTTTGTACAGTATAAAAATGTCTGTCAGCAGTAGTCGCAAATGCTTTTTGCTTTACCACAGGAGCAGTTCATCCAAAAATCATTTACCAGTGTTATTTTAGTATTTACATGCTGTTTAGATTTTAGATACTATTTTGTTTTTAATAATCAGTTTTTTTATTTTTATATTTTATTTATAAACATATTTATTCATTCATTTTTATATAAGTTTTAGTACATCAAGTTATTTTGCATTATTTCAATTAGAGTTTATTTTATTTCAGTAGTAGCAGTTGTTTATTTTTTTAGGGTTTTAGTTTCAGTTAATTGTAATAACCTTGTAATAACCATTTACTTATCATTCACGTTCTAAACTCCAAATTTAAATGGATAAAGGGATAGTTCACCCAAAAACACAAATTCTGTCAAGAAGAAAAGGAAAAGGACACTTCACTTTCAAGCTGTGTTACACTCAAATGTATCAATTTGATAGTCCTTAGGGTCCAAAACAACATTAGGACTCCATTGACTTTCATTGTATGTAAATACTGTATAATAATATATACAAACAAATATACGTTAAAACGTTTAGAAATATCTTCTTTTGTGTTCCACAGACAAACAGATAGTCGTAGAGGTTTGTAACAACATATTTTGGCGTTTGGATGAACATTTCCTTAAGGAATCTTACATGCGCTCCTAAACCCATAAGACTTTTCACAGACGAAGCAACCCCAGATTACTCTGCAATAAGTTCAGTAAAAAGTTTCATCCAAGATGGTGGATTGAGTCTTGTCGGCATAATCAACAGATGCTGTTGATAGCCATTAACTTGCATAGAACATCCAGAACATTCCTTTAAGTGCTTTAAGCTCCAAGAGAAACTTTAAAAAAAAAAAAGGAAAAAAAGTGAACTTTGTAGAAAAGGGCATTTTAAGCTCCTCTGTGGTCTGCCCTTTTATTTTTTTAAAAGAGAGAAGATCTTAGAAAAATTATGCAGCTGATATTTTAAACAGATTTGGCATTCTGAGAATTCTCAGTGGATATGATTCAGAGCTAATGAGGAAAAATATGCATGCTCAGGAGAAGCCATATCTGATCTGTAATAATGGGAATTATGCTGAGAGTGATTTGTCATTTGGTCATATTTCTAGTTATGGATATGTTCTTAAAGTAGTAATACCCATCCAGAAATAGCAATTCATCTAATTTTACTAGAAACATTCCATCTCCAAGTAGGTCACTTCAAATAAGTTATCAAATATGCTCAATTATCTCATGTTCTTACTGATTGACATGAATGGGAATATTTGAAATTGTAGCTACACTCTTAAAAATAAAGGTGCTTCATGATCCCATAGAAGAACCTTTTTGTCTAAATGGTTCCATAAAGAACCTTTAACATCTGAAGAACCTTTCTGTTTCACAAAAGGTTCTTTGTGGCTAAAAAAGGTCCTTCAGATTATAAAAAGGTAAGAAAGAGATGGTTCTTTAAAGAACCTTTGACTGAATAGTTCTTTGTGGAACCAAAAATGGTTCTTCTATGGCATCGCTTGAAGAACCTTTTGAAGCACCTTTAGTTTTAAGAGTAATGAGACCTTTAGGGAATTTCTGTCCATACCATTTTTAAAGCACAGGCATTGATATCCATATTCATTGTGACACACTGGTAACAGGATTCCAAGGAGCCCCGATAATGGAAAAGAATATGAGATGGGAAGAAAAATTATATTCCTATGGTTTTGGATTCTCTCGTAAACGTTCTGCGTTCGCTGAGAATCTTTGCATTTGTTAACAAAAATTGTATTCGTAAAGCTTTTGCGTTCCCTCCCATTCACTCACAAAACCTTTGCATTCGCTCACAAACTTTTTACGTTCTCTTAAGAAACTTTGCTTATGCTCACACGTTTTGTGTTTCCAGAGAATCTTTGTGTTCACCAACAAAAATGTTGCATTCATTCACATAACTTTTTCCATTTGCTCACAACATTTTTGCTATCCCCTGAGAAACTTTGCATTCGCTTGCTAAACATTTGTGTTTGTCTACAAAACTTGTGCATTTCAATGGGAAACCTTGTGTATGCTCGCAAACGTTTTGCGCTTCTTCAAGAAACTTTGTTGGCTCACAAAACTATTGCATTCGCTCACAACATGTTCCCTGAGAAAAATGTTGCATACTTCCACAAAAGTTTTGTTACCCCAAGAAACTCGCAAAATGTTTGCATTTCCCAAATAAATTTTACATTCAATCACAAAACATTTATATTCGCTCACAAAACCTTTGGATTCTTTCAAAAATCTTTTGTACTTCCCAGAGAAACTGCTTTGCAAGTCACCAAGTCTGCATTTATGCTACACTGTTCAAGTGACCCAATTCCAGTTTTTTTCCTCCCATGTGGCACAGATCGGATATGACCCATGAACATGTAAGCAGGAAAAAAAAGCATATGGATTCCAATATTCTCAGATTGGTTTCAGACCTCATTCATATGTGGAAATAAATGCAATGCAATGCATCTGCCATGTAAACTGACAGATTGGATAGTCCCCAGTGAATGCGAGCCATACATCACTGAAAAAACAATAGTGGTGATTGATGTTGACTCAGGTGGACACTTTTCCGGGCAGGGTTGCCAAATTCGCGATTGTCCTGTGGAATCGGGCTACTTTTACACTGTTGCCATGGGTTGTTTTTCCATCTGGGGGTTAAAGCAATCTCCTCCTCCCCTGGAATGTGATTTCGAGAGAGGAGCCCCAATGGAGAGAAAAACCACACACACTCACAGTTTTGATTAGTAATTGGGCTGGTTTTGTTTTACAGACCTGGCAACCCTGTTTCCGGGTCAGTATGTCTACCTTGGGTTGTTTCGCCAAGTGTATAGTGTAAATGCAGATTAGGCAAACAGGTTGCTTTTAAAAGAAGATGTAGGCTGGCTGTCAAAAAAAAAGTGTATTTATACAGTGGTGGCCAAAATGCTTATAGAACACTAGAATTTTCACCAGCTAAAAAATGGTTTGAAGGCAGTTATTTCTATATTTTGCTGTAGCGTGTCAGTAGGAAATATCAGTTCACATTTCCAAACATTAATTTTGCCATTCATTGCAATAATCCAGTGAGATTTTTGTTTGCACAAGAAGTCTGACAGCAGCCAGTGCTCCACACAGAGATCTGATCTGATCATCATCATCCAGTCTGTCTGGAATGACAAGAAGAAACAGAACAAACTGAGAAGAACTGGGGCAACGGCTCCAAGATGCTTTAAGAAACCTACCTGCAAAGCTACCTGAAAAACCTTGCACAAGTGCACCAAGGGCAAAATCTGCTTTGAACGCAAAGGATGGTCACACCAAATGTTGATTTAATTTAGTTAACAGAAGTTAATTGATAAAGAAAATCTATTTATGACATTATTTTTGACAGCATCCTCATTTTACAGCATTTTTACCCAAGTGCCTAAAACTTTTAACAGTACTGTAGCTTTGCAGGTAGGTTTCTTGAATATATATATATATATAAAATGAGCCCCTACCAAGTATTGAGTACATGTACAGTAAATTAACATACTTTCCAGAAGGCCAACAATTCACTAAAAATGTTTTTTTTATTGGTCTTATGAAGTATTCTAATTTGTTGAGATAGTGAATTGGTGGGTTTTTGTTAAATGTGAGCCAAAATCATCACAATTAAAAGAACCAAAGACTTAAACTACTTCAGTCTGTGTGCATTGAATTTATTTAATACACGAGTTTCACAATTTGAGTTGAATTACTGAAATAAATGAACTTTTCCACGACATTCTAATTTATTGAGATGCACCTGTATAATATATATTTTTTTTACTTTTTTATTATTATTATCAATGTTGTAAACTGTTTTGCTGCTTATTTATTTAGTGGAAACCATGATACTTTTTTCATGATGTTTAGATGAAGAAAAAAAAAGTTTTAACGGAACAGCATTCATTTGAAATAGAAATCATTGTAGACGTTATTATAGATTTGGTATGTTTAAGATGTGTGTAATCATATACTTGTTTTTTTTAGGTGCAGTTAGTGAGCTGGAGGAGCGTTTGGACCAAATGCGGATTGGTGCATCTCGTGTGCACTACGACTCCGAGAGTGAAGAAAGCGGAAGCTATACTGACAGATCCAGCTCTGTGACGGAGGAACCCCCGAGTGCTTTCCAAGAATACATCAAAGGCATGGTCAGTACACAGACACTTTCACACTGACCAGTCTTAAACAGTTTTTAGTTTAAACATACATTTGTCCATTCCACAGACACGATCACACAGTGAGAGCGATATCCGACCACGTCCAAAGTCATGCAAGTCCCATTTTCAAGTCTAGTTTCAGTTCATGCCCGTTTCTTTGATCTTGGGTTGTCAGTTAACATGCTTTTACAAAATCTGATTCTGTTCACAGTTATACGGCCACTTTTTGATCATCCTCACACAAGGAACTTGAAGAAAACTGATCCAGTGGCGAAGTATGGCGTACTTCTGTATTTGTATATAACCTTCATAAATGAAATAAATGATTCAGGACTCTGATCTTTTTGTTGTTCTGAATGCGTTTGGATCCTTTATCAGGTATTTCCAGTATAAGCAGGACTGGGAGATGTTTAAACCTCCAGGAGAGAAGAGCAGGAAGGAGCTGCACTGGGCCATCAGGGTATCATAAATCACATTGCTAACCCAAAAGCCAGTGCTCCACACATAGAGATCTGACCTGCTCATCATCAGTCTGTCTGGAATGACATGAAGAAACAGAACAAACTGAGACCGACTCAATCCAGAAGAACTGTGGCAACATCTCCAAGACGCTTCAAGAAACCATTCTGCGATGCTACCTGAAAACTATGCTCAAGTCTATCTAGGACAATAGCTGTTTTAAACTCAAAGGATGGTCACACCAAATGTTGATTTGATTTAGTTAACAGAAGTTAATTGATAAAGAAAATCTATTTATGACATTATTGACTGTAAATGTCATGTGGTGTGACCATCAACAAAAAAAACACATATTTTCAACATGTGAGTGTACAAATATTAATCATTATTTTTAAAACCAGCTTTAAATATATTTTTCAAGGTAAAATGTATTAATTATCAAGGTAATATTAATACAAGCCAAAATGATTAGTATTATTGATATAAGTATTTTGTGGGGTTATGCCATATGACATTTTACAACCTTAACTATCCTTCCCTTGCTGTAAAAAGTAATCTGCAATGTAATTTTAGAAAACGTATTGACTTTGACCCACAGATTATTATTATTAAATATTTGTTATGTTTTATTTTTACTTATACTAATAATACTAAATAATACTAAAAGGTTATGCCAAAGTACAAAACATAGTAAGGTTTTCTTTTCAAGAAAATAAAGTTAATTTAGTTAATTCTATGATGAACAAAGACACGTTAATCACAGAAGATATAGTTTCAATCCATTGTGTGTATGAATGTATTTTTGAATACATTAATATCTCTAGACACACACAAACAAATAAATAAAAAATATGGCATCATCTGTTTGTAGATGGCATAAATATATCTAAACCCAAAAAGCTAGCTTTCAATTATTATGAACCTCCTTTATCACAAAATTCACACTTTCCAGGTGGTTTTCCCATCAAATGCCTGATAAATCCATACATATGAGTGGAGAAACATCTCCAGCACCTGGAAGTCCAGTTGCTTTTGAATAAATTGCACCTGACAAGGCTTGGTCAGCATCTGAATGCTGCAAAATAGAGCCAGTTGACATCTTAAACTGTACATCTGTCAGTGCGCTTAAAGTGTTTTAGCTGTGCCTTTTGCAGCCTGCTTCATTGCATAAAGAATGGAGGCCAACATCTGAAGTGGGAGGGTTACATAACACTCTTGGTCCAAAGAGTGTGTGATATTATGGGTTCATTTCATGTAAAAGCAAGAAAGATTCTGAGAATTCGGAGCATTAAGCACCATGTTAACATCTATACAGAGCATTACAGGACAATGATAGGTTTAGAAGTGCTTCATGGAAATGGCACGTCGTTTTTCCCCCCTAGTCTTGCATTAACTGACACCTGCTGCACTATATATTGCACATATCGATAGGTGATTTTTTTTAGAGTGTGCTTTTAAGTCACACTTGTGTATTAAATTTAAAGTCATCTTATTAAAATAATAGTTCAGATAAAAATAAACTCTGCCACCATTTACTATCCCATTTAAGAATGAAAGAGTGCCATAAATGTGGTACTAAGAAAGCTGCATAAATTGGTGCAATATATTGCATGTCTTCTGAAGTCTTCTGATAAATTTATGAGGTGCAGACCAAAATTTAAGTCATTATTTAATCAAAATCTTTCCCTCAGACCCTGTGCAATTTTGTCAAAACCTGGAGCAGTATGTACAAGGGTAAATAAGATTCAAGAGTTATCATGAATGGCAAGATTTTCATCAATAACAATAAATAAATGTCAGTTTCTTCTTTACGATAAGCTTCAAAAGACCATTTTTGCTTGACAGTGCTTGTCCACATGTACTTTCAATGTTAGGAAAAGAGCAGCCAGGATGTTTTCGAGTTCTGATTTAAACTCATTTAGATATTTTTGCAGGGTTTAAAGTCAAAGATGTCAGGGTGGTACAACTGTCTTGACGTCATAATGAAGAAAAAAAGCCTCATTAAAAAAATGAAATCCATGAAAAGAACTAAATAAGTATAATTTTTAAACTGCCTGTCTGCTTGTTTCTATTTGGAAAAAAAAAATCATGTTGTGTGACTCCGCAAAAATTTAATGAGATATGTAAATTAACAACTCATGATATTTCTAAGCAAGGTAAGTAAGTAAATAAATAAAGAAATGCTTTTTTAACTTTAAAATATTTTTGAAACATTTTGGAAAATATTTTGATTGATTAAGTATACTCACATGCATTCAAAGCATAAGAAAAATATTTTTTATTTTATTCATTTATATTTTTTTATACTTTAAATGTTCCATGGTTACACCCCATGACATTTGAGTCATTAGGGTTTTGTTTTTTTGTTTTCTTTGATTGATTGATTGAAAATGGTATAAACAGTTTTCAAAACCATATGAAATCCACATCAATACAAAGAGTTTTTAAGAACTTGGCACATGCGTTTCTTTTTCATTATTATTCCTGTTCTTTATTGTGGAAGCTCTCATTGAGAGTGTGTAAATATAGAATTTTATCATGTTGTGTGACTCCGCAAAAATTTAATGAGATATGTAAATTAACAACTCATGATATTTCTAAGCAAGGTAAGTAAGTAAATAAATAAAGAAATGCTTTTTTAACTTTAAAATATTTTGGAAACATTTTGGAAAATATTTTGATTGATTAAGTATACTCACATGCATTCAAAGCATAAGAAAAATATTTTTTATTTTATTCATTTATATTTTTTTATACTTTAAATGTTCCATGGTTACACCCCATGACATTTGAGTCATTAGGGTTTTGTTTTTTTGTTTTCTTTGATTGATTGATTGAAAATGGTATAAACAGTTTTCAAAACCATATGAAATCCACATCAATACAAAGAGTTTTTAAGAACTTGGCACATGCGTTTCTTTTTCATTATTATTCCTGTTCTTTATTGTGGAAGCTCTCATTGAGAGTGTGTAAATATAGAATTTTAATATTGGGATAACATACCTGATTTATAATTGGGTAAACCCAACTGCAATCATTTTAATATAAAATTATTAAATGACTGCCTCCACTATCGCCCAATCAGATCCCTATACCGAGTTTTAACTCTTGTGAAACCCAGTGACAGCAGGACGGTGGCTCTGTTCCAATAACCTCCTGGAGTCTGACACATACAGTACGCTCAGTCACAGGTGATTTAGACTGGAGTCCATCATGTCGCAGCTGTCATGTCCATGATGGATGCACGCAAGTAACTTACTCCGTTTTTCCTACCAACACTCCAGCCTTGGACTCAAACAGAGTGCTTTACAGGAAGAGAGGAGGGGAGTGACTCTCTTAAAAGCTTAGAATTTGAAAGCAGTTAAAAGCGTTTTGAAGGTAACTTATCATGCAACTGATATTTTGGCAGGAAAACACTCCCTTGAGGTCTGTCCACATGCCACAGCAACCTACCTACAAAAATGGCCCAAATTTGTGGACCTCAGAATAGCATTTTTTATTGTTTGTATTTTATAATATTGTAAATCTAAGAGACAAATCCCTCAGCTAATGAAGATATATATCATTGTTCTGATTTGAAGAGTACCATCCTAACCTCAAGTGATCTCCCAACAACAGATTGATGGCGGCTTAGCTTTCACTCAAATCAAAGAACGAACCTCATTCAGTTATTTAAGATGCACGATAAACACTACATTGTGAATAGTCTTAACTAAAAGGGAATTGTTCGGCATGAAATAATAATGGCACAAATTTTATAAACAAAATCTAGATTTATATTTATTTATTTTAACTTGGGAATAAAAAGAAAGAAAGGATTTTGAATAATTGAGAAGTAGAAACATACTATGCAAAATGAAGAAATATTTAACATTCTGTGTTATTTCTGGGTCTCTTATTCTATCAGTTTGCATGCATGTAAACTCAGATGGTCTGTTCTTGCTTCCATTGAAGTACAAAACGCAACTCATGTGCTGATGTTATTAGGGATATTTAACCTTAAAATGAAAATTCTGTTATCATTTATTCACCCTCATGTTGTACCAAACCTATTATGACTTTCTCCTGTGGTCATAAAAGAAAATATTTTGAAAAATATTTGCCATCCCAAATGACACACAACAGCCATTAACAGCTCCTATCTGCGTCCCTTTCTGCTCCCGTTAAAACCATCAGGCTCTGCCTCTTCATTCCTGGATGGCTTTAAATTGGCTGAAAATTACGCCTGTCATAATCATTAGATCATGTTGCCTAGCAATATGTTGCAGTTTGTGAATAGTCTTAACTAAAAGGGAATTGTTCGGCATGAAATAATAAAATGGCACAAATTTTATAAACAAAATCTAGATTTATATTTATTTATTTTAACTTGGGAATAAAAAGAAAGAAAGAATTTTGAATAATTGAGAAGTAGAAACATACTATGCAAAATGAAGAAATATTTAACATGCTGTGTTATTTCTGGGTCTCTTATTCTATCAGTTTGCATGCATGTAAACTCAGATGGTCTGTTCTTGCTTCCATTGAAGTACAAAACGCAACTCATGTGCTGATGTTATTAGGGATATTTAACCTTAAAATGAAAATTCTGTTATCATTTATTCACCCTCATGTTGTACCAAACCTATTATGACTTTCTCCTGTGGTCATAAAAGAAAATATTTTGAGAAATGTGTCAGTGTTTTTGTCCATACAAAGGAAGTAAGCGGGCACCAAAACTGTTTGGTACCAATATTCTTTTAAATATTTTGCATTCCACAGAAGAAATAAATGTTTTTAAACAATTTTGTTTTATTTTAAAATTCACTTCATTTGATCAAATAAAATACTTTTTAATACTTTTATTTGAATACTTTTTAAATTGCATTGATCTTTATTTTTAATCAAATAGTCTTACATAAAATATACAGTATTTACATTTCAATTTAAAGTCTATAATTCACAAAAGACTATGAAACATATTTGTCATTGTATTTTTTACAGAGAAATAATATATTTTTATAGAACAGAATAGAATAGAATAGATCT